GGAGAAACTACAAAACAGGAAACTAAATGATGGAGTGCTCTAAGGTTTAGTCCATTTCCTTCTCTTTCCTCTCTACATTCACTTTCTACTAGGTGACAATATTCTCCAGTCCCATAGCCTCAAATACCATCTCAAAGCTGACAACTCTTAGATCTCCCTTCTGCCCTCCACACTAATGTACCCAGCTGCCTACGCAATATTTCTACTTGGATATCAGATAGCTCAAACTCGATGTGTTCAAACCCCCTGCCAATAATGATCTTTTAATTGAAATATAGTTGATATACAATATTAAATTGGTTTCAGGTGTATAACAATGATTTGATAGTTATCTACATTATTAAATGCTTATCCCAATAAATGTAGTTAACATCTGTCAGCATACAGCAATATTGCAATATTATTGACTATATTCCCTATGCTGTACTTTCACTCCATGACTTATATCATAATTGGAATTTTGTACCTCTTTATCTCTTTCATCCACCCCTAATTCCCCACCCCTATGGCAACCACCAGTCTCTTCCCTGTGTCTATGAGTCCATTCCTGATTTTTCTTCGTTTTTAGATTCCACAAATAAGTATTTGTCTTTTCTGCCTGGCTTGTTTCACTTAGTGTAATAGCCTCTAGATCCATCCATGTTGCAAATGTCAAGATTTATTTTTTTATGGCTGACTAATATTACATTGTATATATTTGTCACTTCTTCTTTACCCACTCATCTACTGATGGACAACTTTGTTACTTCCAAATCTTGGCTATTGTAAATAATGCAGTGATAAACAAGGGATGCATATATCTTTTCAAATCACTGATTTTGTTTTCTTTGAGTATATTCCCAGAAGTGGTATTACCAGGTCATATGATATTTCTATTTTCAGTTTTCTGGGAACTCCATACTGCTTTCCACAGTGGCTGAACCAGTTTACATTCCCACCAACAGTGTAGGAGGGTTCCCATTTGTTCATATCAGTATTACGTCTTATGGAGAGTAGCCAATCTGATGGGTGTGAGGTGATACCACATTGTAGTTTTGATATACATCTCTCTAATAATCAGTTAAGGGAGTCTCTTGTAGGCACATACATACATAGATGGGTCTTATTTCTTTATCCATTCAGTCTCCTTATGTCTTTTGATTGGAGCATTTAGTACATTTACATTTAAAGTAATTATTGATAGGTATGTACTTATTGCCATTGTGTTAATTTTTTTCTGGTTGTTTTTATAGTTCTGTCATGCTCTTTTCCATTGTGCTTTGATGAGTTTCTTTAATGTTATACTTGTTCCTTTCTCTTTTTGTGTGTGTGTGTATAAGCTTTTCATTTGTGGTTACCACAGGTTAATATGTAGCATCCTATATATGATGGATATCTTAAGTTTCAACACATTCTAAAAGCACTACTTTTAAGTGTTCCTGCTTGATGTTTTATGTATATGATGTCAGATTTTATTACTTTTGTCTTCTGAACTGCATACATTTACTGTAGGTTTGTTTCAGTAATGAAAAAATTTTTTTTTCCATTAAAAAAAAAAAGTCCCTTAGGTATTATGTTTAGTACACATGATGTGGGGGATCACAGGGAGAACAATGTATCACAGAGAAGGCACATAGTGGATCTGTGGCAACTTGCTGCTCTGATGGACAGTGACTGCACTGGGGTATGGATGGGGACTTGATAATATGGGTAAATGTAGTAACCACATTATTTTTTCAAGTGAAACCTTCATAAGAGTGTATATCAATCATATCTTAATAAAAAATGTAAAAAAAACAAAAAAAATCCCTTAAACAAATGTAAAAAGAATTCATAACCACAAAACTGGCCTTACAAGATATGTTACTGTGGAAAACCTTTTCTCTCTCCTTCAATTCTAAATGATAACCTTGCTGGGTAGAGGATTCCTTATTGTAGATTTTTCCCTTTCAGCACTTTAAATAGTTCATGCCACTTCATTCTGGCCTGTAAAGTTCCTGCTGAGAAATATGCTGATAGCCCTATGGTATTTTCCTTGTAGGTAACTGTTTTCCTTTTTCTTGCTGCTTTTAAGAATCTTTCTTTGCCATTTTAATTACTGCGTGTCTTGGTGTAGACCTCCTTGGATTCATCTTGTTAGGGTCTCTCTGTGCTTCCAGGACCTGAATGTCTATTTCTTTCCCCAGGTGGGGGAAGTTTCCAGCCCCTTTGTCTCTCTTCTTCTGGGGCCTCTACTATGCAAATGTTTCGTTTGAAGTTGTTGCAGATCTCTCAACATCTCATTTTTAGAAATTCTTTCTGTTGCTCAGCTTGGTTACTTTCTACTACCTGTCTTCCTAATTGTTGGTCGATTTTTCTGCATCCTCTAATCTTCATTACATTCTTTTCATTTCAGTTACTGTATTCTTCAGTTCTTACTGGCTCTTTTTTTATTTTCTTTCTTTGTTGAAGTCCTCCATGAATTCATCTATTCTTTTCCCTAGTCCAGTGAGCATCTTTATCAGGTAGTTTACCTCTCTCTGTTTCATTTAGCACTTTGGTGCTCTGCGTTTGTTTCTATATATTAGATTAGATATGTCTCCTGGTCTTGAAAGTTGTGGCTCTATGTAGTAGCATCCTGTGGTGCCCTGAAGAATAAAATCCCCTGCTCACCAGAGCCAGATGCTCTAGGGGTGGCCCCTGTATACTCTCCTGTTGCAGCTGAGCCACAACTTTTTGGTAGGCTGTGGGTTAGGCCAGCCCTCAGCCTGGCTGCCACCAGTGGCCAGTCACTACTTCCCTGCCTTAGTGTGCAATGCTGACACAGCTTAGCTACTGGGCTACTCCTCAGTGCACCGTGTGCAGGGCCCGCACTCAGCCTGGTTGCCAGAAATGGCAGCTCTCCCTGACATTTAGCTTCATTGATTTTTAAAGCCCAATGCTATGGGGACTCTTCCTGCAGCAGATCCCTGTAGCCAGGTGTGCCAGGTTCCCAGACATTTATCTTCTCCCTGCTTTGTTCCTAACTCCTTCCTGCTTGTGTGCTGGGATGGGGCAGGGCTTGGATCCCAATCAATTATGGCTCTGTCCCTTTAACCCTTCTCAATGTGGTTCTCTCTTTTTTGTTAGGCATAAAAGATTTGCTTTAAGTCACTTTCCTAGGGTGTACATGGAAGGAAGTTATCATAATGACCTCCTATTCCACCCTCCCAAAATTCTCCTGAACTGATTTTGACTATAAAAAAACATATACATGCACACAAAGAAAAATATGTCACATGAACAACATAGGAATTTCTCTTACCTATTAAAAAAAAGTCAAGATACAAAGGTAGGCAGTCCAGGACATGTATGGTATACTCATTATAACCTCATCAGGAATCTCGGCAACATCTCTTGCTGCTTTTCCAACTTTAGTATGTTTCTTTGTATTATCAGGAGGGAGAAATGTAATGGTACTTCCCCTTTTAAAGAAACTTCCTAGAAATTCTAGGCAACTCTTCTGCTGATATCTCACTGGCCAGAACTTAGATTGTGGCCAGGTCAGCTGTAGGGAAGGTTGAGAAGTATAATAGTTTTTACCTCTATGGCAATATATTCAGCTAAAATCAGGATTCTCCTACTAAAAAAGAGAAATGGATGTTAGGAGGCAACTGGCTATCTCTACATACTCTGGTCCTTCCTCCTGTTTTCCCCATTTCATTAAATGTCAACTCCATTCTTCCAGTTGCTTAGCTCAGAATATCTTGAGATCATCCATGGCTCTTTTTCTCTCCTACCCTACATTAATCTATCATCAAAATCCATTGATGGTACTTTCCAAATATATCCTGAATCTGACAGCCCTGACCAAATCCACCATGTTCATCTCACTGTAGGTTATTGCCTCTCCTAGTCTCCTAACTGGACTCACTGGTCCACCAGCCCATTCTCCACATAGTAGTATATAGTCCTTTAAAACATAAGTCAGATGTTATTTCTGTGTGTACCACTCTCTGGTTACCTCCCAGTTCATTCTGAGTGAAATGCAGGAAGCTTACTATTAAAAGGCCATACACCATTTGGTCCTAGCTAACACTGATTCTCTCCCTCACTCATTCCACTCCAACTATACTGGCTTCCTTGATGTTCCTTGAAAATACCAAGTGTGTACCAATTCCAGGCTTTTGTGTCTATTGTTCCTTCTATCTTGAATGTGCACCTCCTAGACAACCCCATGGCTTGCTCCTTAACTGCCTTCAGGTCTTTGATCAAATATCACATGATCAAAGAGACCTTCCCTAATAGCCTGTCTGGAATAGGATTCCCTCTTGTAAACACCTTTCCCTTTATAAAACTATTTTTCTTAATACTCAGCACCATTTGACATATATGATTTTCTACATTCTTTCTATAGACATACATTTAATGTGAATTTAATTATTGAAGTCTTCCCACTAGAATGGGGCATAGAGGGACTTGGTCTGTTTTGTTGACTACTGTCTTCCTTATCTGGTAAGGGTGATCAGGACAGGCTTCTCTGAAGACAAGGAGTGGGAAGTAAGAATGAATGTAGATGGGCACTCCGGGCAGGGAACAACTAAATGTAAAGAGGGAACAGTAGAAATAAGCGTGCCATGTTTAGGGACAAAAAGAAGTCCAGTATGGCTGGAATATAGCAAAGTATGCAGAGAGTGGGACAGAGCTGTAGAGCCGGGTCATACAGACTTGTGCCTGTCCCAGGGCCAGCAGAAGAGCTGCTGGCCCTGCTCAGCCTCTCCTCTGTGATTTTCTCTTAACCCTAGAATCAGTGTTTTTCTATTTACATGGAAATATATGCGGTGCCTAGAAAATTAGCATGTGGCCTGTTCCATATGCAAATGCTCTTGTGGATGATTTTTACCTATGACAGAAAAGATGGGAAGGACTGGTAAATCACAAGCATTCTTAACCTCATTATAAATACATTGCAAATGTAAAAATACAAAGTGTGAAAGTTATAAATGTGAAAGCAGCTTTCAATTTGTTTTAATAGGTGTTTTCTATGTCTTATTGTAACCTAGGGATCTTGCTGCAAGAAACTGCCTGGTAGGTGAAAATAACATTCTAAAAATCAGTGACTTTGGAATGTCTCGTCAAGAGGATGGTGGAGTGTATTCATCTTCTGGCTTAAAACAGATTCCCATTAAATGGACAGCACCAGAAGCTCTTAATTATGGTAAGAATAGACCCTTTTTCTTTTTGATGGTAAAAATGGTCTCCATGAGCACAAAACAAAGTTACAGGGGTAAAGCCGAGCCCAAGTCGGAATGACTTGAGGACCAACACAAATGGTGTGTAAATGTTCATATTCTGCACTTGAGCAGAAAGCAGAAACTTAATTCATTGACCTTATTGATCAGACTTCTATATGTAAGACTGCTAATTTAAAAGATGAGTGTTTTCAAGAACTTTTAAATATATTTAATAGTCAATTTAAACACAGAGCAAAAAGTATTGCTCTGGGCCATTTTGGTCAAATGTCTCATAGTTGGTTCATTAACCTCATCTAATGTTAGGTTCCTAAAATATCAAGTCAATTAATTCTGTAGTTTCATTACTTTGAAAGTCAACATTAGCATTTCAGTCTTTGGAACTTGTATTAAGCCTTGTGGGAAGAGACAGAGGTAAGTCATATTTTGAACAGGGATTTTTCATTAAGGGAAGCAGCCTATCAGCCATGGGTTGGTGAATGGGTATAGTATGTTTTGAATTAAACTATACAATGATTCTTTGTTGATTTAAAATTTTAAAAATTACCTTACCATGAAAAATAAGGCATTTTTTTAAGTGAGGTAAAGTTCATATGTATAAATAATATCTTATATGTACATAGTACATACAAATAAATATTTTAAAGTGAACAATTCAGTGGCATTTAGTACAATGTGGTGCAAGCACCCCCTCTAGTTCCAAAACATTTTCAAGTCATATGGCCCATCCCTCCCCCAGGATATGTGGACACTGGCAACCACATACCCGCTTTTTTGTTGCAATGGATTTACCTGTTCTGCATATTTTATGTAAATGACATCATAGACGGTGTGACCCTTTGTGTGTGGCTTCCTAGTGAAATGCTTTCCAGGCTCATCACAGTATCATTACTTCATTCTGTGTATGGCTATACTCCACCACATATGTTTACCAGTTTGTTCATCCATTAACATATATTTGGGTGATTTTCACCTTTTGGCTATTATGAATAGAGCTACAAGGAACATTTGTATGTAAGGATTTGAGTACCTTTTTTCAGTTAATCTGGGTATACACTAGTTAGGAGTCATATGGTAATTCTATTTAACATTTTGAGGAACCACCAAATTATTTCCAGATAAAGCTTTGGAAGTTAGTTGAGGCCCATCCAGTCTCCAGACAGAATCTGTCTCATATTTTGTATGCCAATGGTACTATGGAATATATAAGTACAGAGAGTTGTCATTAAGAGAAGTCAACTAGGTTCTTCTAGTTACCTGTAATTGAGTTTTTGAATTAAAACTCTACAGATACTAATCCTCTTAGTTCGATTTCCCATGTGCTAGCAACAGAAGCTTTCATGAGCTTTCCTGTGGTCACAGACTAGTTCCACTACTCCCCAGAATCTAGAGAAAATGGCACCCCTGCTATTCTCTATAGTGCTTCTTCTCTGGAAAAGTTCTTACTCTGAGGCTGGATTCCTAAGGAAAACAATCACAGGACTATGACCTTTTATTTACACAGAGGTTTTCTGTGAATGACAAAACATCAATCTCATAGTTGGTTCATTAACCTCATCTAATGTTAGGTTCCTAAAATATCAAGTCAATTAATTCTGTAGTTTCATTACTTTGAAAGTCAACATTAGCATTTCAGTCTTTGGAACTTGTATTAAGCCTTGTGGGAAGAGACAGAGGTAAGTCATATTTTGAACAGGGATTTTTCATTAAGGGAAGCAGCCTATCAGCCATGGGTTGGTGAATGGGTATAGTATGTTTTGAATTAAACTATACAATGATTCTTTGTTGATTTAAAATTTTAAAAATTACCTTACCATGAAAAATAAGGCATTTTTTTAAGTGAGGTAAAGTTCATATGTATAAATAATATCTTATATGTACATAGTACATACAAATAAATATTTTAAAGTGAACAATTCAGTGGCATTTAGTACAATGTGGTGCAAGCACCCCCTCTAGTTCCAAAACATTTTCAAGTCATATGGCCCATCCCTCCCCCAGGATATGTGGACACTGGCAACCACATACCCGCTTTTTTGTTGCAATGGATTTACCTGTTCTGCATATTTTATGTAAATGACATCATAGACGGTGTGACCCTTTGTGTGTGGCTTCCTAGTGAAATGCTTTCCAGGCTCATCACAGTATCATTACTTCATTCTGTGTATGGCTATACTCCACCACATATGTTTACCAGTTTGTTCATCCATTAACATATATTTGGGTGATTTTCACCTTTTGGCTATTATGAATAGAGCTACAAGGAACATTTGTATGTAAGGATTTGAGTACCTTTTTTCAGTTAATCTGGGTATACACTAGTTAGGAGTCATATGGTAATTCTATTTAACATTTTGAGGAACCACCAAATTATTTCCAGATAAAGCTTTGGAAGTTAGTTGAGGCCCATCCAGTCTCCAGACAGAATCTGTCTCATATTTTGTATGCCAATGGTACTATGGAATATATAAGTACAGAGAGTTGTCATTAAGAGAAGTCAACTAGGTTCTTCTAGTTACCTGTAATTGAGTTTTTGAATTAAAACTCTACAGATACTAATCCTCTTAGTTCGATTTCCCATGTGCTAGCAACAGAAGCTTTCATGAGCTTTCCTGTGGTCACAGACTAGTTCCACTACTCCTCAGAATCTAGAGAAAATGGCACCCCTGCTATTCTCTATAGTGCTTCTTCTCTGGAAAAGTTCTTACTCTGAGGCTGGATTCCTAAGGAAAACAATCACAGGACTATGACCTTTTATTTACACAGAGGTTTTCTGTGAATGACAAAACATCAGGCTCGTCCTTCATCCCTGTAATGGAGCTGGAACTGCACGCGGGAGGCCCTGCAGGCTCACCAGAAAACCCAGCTCTCGGGAATTCGTTCTGACCCTGTTGGCCAGATTCTCATTACATTACCTTTAAAAGTCCTCTTACTGTTAATCAGTCATGCCTGCCTTTCAATCAAAGTGTGTTTTAGTTGAACTGACTAAAGTATTTACAAATAAAATTTTAATTCCAGATATCTTTAGGAGCCAGGACTTTAATAAAGACAAGAAGATTTTGATTGGCAGCAAGGGACATTTTTAGAAGGCTCTAAAATTGACTTTATAGAATGCAGAACACTTAAGATGACAGAGAGGGAAAGATTTTTATCACCCAAACCAATGACTTGAGTTCCTGAGAGTCTGAAAGTTTCCTGGCAACCCTGAGAAGTTTTTAGCTCCCAGAGGCTACATTACTTATATTTCCCTTTGTTAAAAAAAAATATATATATTAGGATTTAGGTCCAATCTTCAGTAAAGATATTGCCTTACTTCTAAGGGTCTTATCTTCTCATAGAGTAAGAGTAGGTGAAATCCTGCTCAAGTCACCCATGGAGTTTGGGATCAGGATACATGGAAAGAACCTCCAGTTTGAGAAATCTCTGAAACTTTGACATAAACTTGTGGTTGGAATTGCTGTCATTTAATTTTTGAAAAGACAATACATACCCTTTTTTTAAATCAAATAATAGTAAAAGGCCTACAATGAAATGTAGGCCCCTCTCCCATCTCTAGGCATGTAATTCTTCTCAGAGGCAAATACTTTTATCTGATTCTTCTCAGAGATTTCTCAGCATTTATGGGTATATATCTCCTTCCCCCACCTCTTTTAAACATAAAATGGTAGCTCTTCCTAGCCTCCTTAGCCTATACTGCAACCATACTCACAGCAGCTGTCACCTAAGTACATAGCATACTTACTTCCAACTAATCTAAAAAAGAGATTTTTTAGATTTGCCACCTGAGAATATGTGGCTGATATGTCCTCTGATTTAATTAGTGTGATGTAAGTATTCTGAAAGAGGAGGCAAGAGTTGCAGTGAAAAGAGTCCTAGATTGCCCATCAAGAGGTTTCCCGACCACTTATGGCATCAGGTGCGTGGCCTTGGCAAGCCATCTATGTTAGTAGACCTATGTTTTCTAATTCAAAAGATGAGGATGATAGTACCTTTTCCTGCAAGGGTAGTGTGAGGATCAAATAAGAGGTTGTATGTTACTCTTAGCCTATTAAAATTATCCAGCAAAGTTCTGGTTCAAGACAGTGACAGGAAGATCCTGAACTCACCTCGTCTACAACTACATACAGAGCAATTTCCTATGGAACAAAACTAAAAAGTAGCTAAGCAACTGCTACACATTGGGCAAACAAGAAAAAAACCACACCAAAGCATGCAGGAGAGACCGAAACAATCTTGCCATAAATTCCACCTCTGGCATGCATGGTGATCCACAATCAGGAGGGAACACAAAACCAAGAGTATCTCCCTGTGGAGAAAAGAGTTTGAACCCTACATCAGTCACTCAGCTCTTAAGGACCTGCACCTGAGAGATGAGCTCCCAAACAACTAGCTTTGAAAACCAATGGGGCTTGCATCCATGAGACCCACAAGAATGTGGTAAACAGATCACAGACTTGGAATCACCCACTGCAAGGCCCAGCATAGAAACAGCTGGTCAAGAGGCTCCAAGATTTTATGTGGAAGGAGCTCATTTGCTAATTGCTGATCTTAAATATCAGCCAGAGGAGCAGGCATCTAATTTTATACACATCTAGGTGCATGCTGGGATACTCTCAAAAAACAGATGGTGGGTGCCATCTTTGTATTCTCCCTGTTGTACTCCAGAGCACCATATCTCCCAGAGGGGGTGCCTTTACATACATCTGGCACCCTGGCCTTTGTAGCCGATACCCAGGGGACACCTCTCGATCATCAGGGTCTGGAGATCAGGGATCTTGCACTTCTGGGTACCATGTAACGATAAGAGAGACAGCAGACTGCCCCCCTCTGCGCACACTCACTGTGCAACAGCAGACTGAAACACATCCCCAGTCTGGCTGTGAAAAGGGCCTATTTGCTCATCCAGCTTTGGCCTCAGGGGCAGGCTTCTGGTAGGGCACCCACCTAGAGGCCTACAGAGATGATC